AGGTCTCGCCAAGTTTCCCAGGCAGGTCTCAAACCCGTGGGCTCAGGCTATCCACTCATCTCGGCCTCCCAAAGGTGCGGGATTACAGGCTAAGCCACCGAGCCCGGCTTGTCCTCGTTTCTTACTTCTCTCTCCTTACTGCACTAGTAGCCCCAGGTGTCTGCTTGCCATCCTGAAAACAGTAGGGACACTCCAACCTCAGGGTCTTGGCGCTGGCCATTCTCTCTGCCTAGAACACTTTTCTTCCAGATATACATATAGCTAAGCTCTCACCTCATTTTGCTCATATGTCATCTCAGTAACTGTCTCTGACGATCCATGACCCTCCTGGTCTCCTAACCCTGATCTAATTTTTCTTTTTTCCATTGCATTTATTACACTCTAACATTCTGTGTAGTTTACATATTTCTTTTTTTTTGAATTGGAGTCTCATTCTGTCGCCCAGACTGGAGTGCAGTGGCACACTCCCGGCCACCCAGCCCCGACCTGCTGGGCTCAGGCGATTCTTCCACCTCAGCCTTCCAAGTAGATGGAACTATAGGCATGCACTACCACGCCTAACTAATTTTTTGATTTATTGTAGAGACGAGGTCTTGCCAAGTTGCCCAGGCGGTTCTTGAACCCCGGAGCTCAGGCAATCCACTCACTTTAGCTTCCCAAAGCGCAGGATTATAGGCTGAGCCACTGAGCCCGGCTAGTTTACATATTTCTTATGTATATTATGTTTTGTCACATTAGCAGTGTACTAAAAGCTGTATGAGACCAGGAATGTGTGTGTTGCTTACTGATATGAGTCCAAATATTTAGAACATGCCAGTTGTTTATCATTTGTCAGTCAGTATAGGTGACTGATAAATACTGGTTGAATTACTAAGTGATTCAAATGAGACAAATGGGCAAAACATTTAGAGGAAAGCCTTGCATATAGTAAGTGATACATAAATGCTAGTCATGTCATTTAGTAATTCATCTAGCGAGCTTATTTTCTCCCTTTTTAAAACCTTAGACTACTTAAAGGGAAGTGTGATGGAAAGAATGTGAGCTTGAAAGTGAGGGATTAAAATGGGAGCCTGAGACTCTGGTTAAGATAAAGATTCTGAAGACACTTATGAGGTAGAATGGACAAGATGTGGAGCAGAAAGGAAGGAGCAACAGCACATAAGAGGAGAAACTAGAATTTGGAGTTACAGACTTGAATTTGAAACTGGTCTTCAAATTTAAGTAACTTGCCAGGCTCGGTGGTTTAGCCTGTAATCCCGTGCCTTAGGAGGCTGAGGTGAGTGGATTGCCTGAGCCCGCGGGTTCGAGACCTGCCTGGGCAGCTTGGTGAGACCTCATCTCTACAATAAATCAAAAAATTAGCTGAGTGTGGTAGCACGCACCTGTAATTCCAGCTACTTGGAAGGCTGAGGGGGAAGGATTGCTGGAGCCCCAGCAGGTCAAGGCTGGGTGACAGAGTGAGACTCCAACTCAAAAAAAATTTTTTTAAGTAACTTAACTGTGGGCAGGTTAATTCACTTTTCTGTGCCTCATCTTTTTTCTTTCTCTCAAAAGAGAATAGCATCTTCTACCCCTCAGGGTTGTGGGTAAGGAAAGCAGCACCTATCAAGTGCTTGGCCCAGTCCACTCCACATGATGGGGATTCTGCAAATGTTCTTTAAAATAGTTTTTGTGGTATATTCTAAAAAACTGGATAAACTGAAGTCTTTGTTGTAATATTGAAAGGTTTTGACCTACCATTTCTAGCTTGGTTATGTCTTAACTGCTTATCTGTACAAACTTAATAATCTCGCCAGAGAAATCTACTTGGCTATTTGTTTAACTAGCAGTTTCATACCAGGTTCTGTGTATTGTGAATACAGAGATGAGACATCTTTGCCCACAAGGAGCTCATAGTCAAGTGCACTAGTATAGCAATAAACTAAGTGAGGGTTAGAGTGTGGGAGAGTAAGCAAGGCTGAAGGGACTAGCCTAGTCAAAAGCATAAAGATATGAAGTTGTAAAGGTACTGACTTCATAAAGCATGGGGTTGCTGGGTGTGGTGGCTCACGCCTGTAATTATAGCACTTTGGGAGGTGGAGGCAAGATAATTGCTGGAGCCCAGGGGTTTGAGACCAGTCTGGGCGAGACTTTGTCTCTACAGTAAATCAAAATATTAGCCTGGTGCCTGGCTAATTGCTACCAATCACAATGCAAGGAACTAAAGCCATTTTTTTTCAATGTCACTGGCACATAAAATGGCAGAGTTGCGAGAGATGGAACTGGCTAGTCATGCAGGTTAAGGAGAGCCTTGTCGTGTGACCACAGTGTGGAAAATAGACTGAAGAGGCCATAATAGAGACAGAGGACTGAGGAATGGGCTATTAACAGAAAATGAGCGCAGTGGTTGTAGAAATGGAGAGATGGCTGATTTGAGATAGGAGATAAAATCACAAGTTTGATCTAGAAGTGGGGGTGAGGGAGAGGCAGGTGTTTAGGGATAACTCTGTTTCTCATTTGGGTGGTCAGATAGATAATGGTGTCATCAACAGAAGACCATAGAAAGATCAGGGAAAATAATGAGTTTCATTCTCCTACAACAGGTTATCCCAACCATGGCAGTCTTGATGTTTTGCACCAGATAATTCATTGTTGTAGCTGACTGTCCTGTGCATTGTAGGATGTTTACAGCTTCCCTGGTCTCTATCCACTAGGTGCCAGTAGAATTCCTCCAGTTGTGACTGCCAAAAATATCTCTAGACATTGCCAAGTATAGGGTGACAGAATCACCCTGTCCCTAGTTGAGAACCACTTCCCTAAAAGCCTTCATCTAGATCAATATGTTGAAAACCAGTTTGCTAAAAAATCAGTTCATTCAAAGTCAGTATGCTAAATGATTGATTCAAAGGATTGGTAGTACCAACAACTTGTTTTATTTAATTACTTATAAAGTTTACAACAGTTGGTATTTTATGAGACTTACCAGCTTTAAAAATTTTTTGCCTTTCTAGTTGATTGATTTTCATTCATTTGTTTTTTTTTTTTTTGAGTTGGAGTCTCACTCTGTCGCCCAGACTGGAGTGCAGTGGCACACTCATGGCCTCCCTGACGTCGACCTGCTGGGCTCCGGCGATCCTTCCGCCTCAGCCTTTCAAGTAGCCGGAATTACAGGCATGTGCTACCACGCCCAGCTGATTTTTTGATTGATTGTAGAGATGAGGTCTTGCTGCCCAGGCGGGTCTCGAACCCGTGAGCTCAGGCAATCCACTCACCTCAGCCTCCCAAAGGCGTGGGATTACAGGCTGAGCCACTGAGCCTGGCTTGTTTTTTTATTTTGAGTTGGCGTCTCACTCTGTCGCCCAGACTGGAATGCAGTGGCACACTCAATGGCTTCCCTGGCGTCGACCTGCTGGGCTCCGGCGATCCTTCCGCCTCAGCCTTCCAAGTAGCTGGAACTACAGGCATATGCTACCATGCCCAGCTAATTTTTGATTGATTGTAGAGACGAGGTATGCCAAGTTGCCTGGGCTGGTCTCGAACCCAGGGTCTCAGGCAATCCACTTGTTTCGGCCTCTCAAAGTGTTGGGATTACAGGCTGAGCCATCGAGCCTGGCCTGATTTTCATTTAAAGGAATGTTAAATTTGTTGAAAGTTAAGGGTCATGAGAAAACCAAGGAACTTATGAATATATTTAATACTCAGAAAAAAAATACTTTCACACCAATAACCAGAATTCTCGTGTTAAATTAGTTAGAGAATATGAAGTAGATGGAGATTGATGTGGAGATTCTGAAAGGGACATCTTTTGAGAAATTCAGAGGTAGAGAGCACAAGTTTTTAAACCTGGTTTCACTTTAAAACACTTGAGGTTCGAGACCCGCCTGGGCAGCGAGCCCTCATCTCTACAATAAATCAAAAAATCAGACAGGCGTGGTAGCGCATGCCTGTAATTCCGGCTACTCGGAAAGCTGAGGCGGAAGGATCGCCGGAGCCCAGCAGGCGAGGCTGCGGTGGCCGGGAGCGGCCACTGCACTCCAGTCTGGGCGACCGAGTGAGACTCCAACTCAAAAATAAAAAATAAAAAAAATAAAAACCAAAAAAAAAAACCACCTCAAAACAAAATACTTGATTTTCATTTTCTTGTACAGGAGTGTTTGCAAAGGCTTTTCTTATGTTTACGAGCTTGGTCAGGCTTGTTTGATCTACAGATATAGAGAGTAAGAAAGAAGGGAACTTTTCCTGGAAAAACAGTTGGAAAAGGAAAACATATAAAGATGGTTGAAAGTGGCTGTGACTGCATGTGGAGTGAGTGGCCCATGACGGGATAAGGAGTTGGCATATAATCCTTTGAGTCGGTGTGGGAGCTGAGGGAGCAATCGCAGCAGGATGCTTGTCTCGTGAAAGTGTACATAAAAGTGTAACTCTCAGACCTCAACATTCCATTGGGTTAGAGAGACACATGATGTGTTTTAATTTTATTGAATATGCTGATACTATCTTCATCAGTTAAGCAAATATTTACCCCAGCCCACATGGTCTGGCTGTTTCTTTAAACACATTGTTTTGAATGATTAGCAGAGAGTAGAAAACAATTGGAAATCCAGATTGGAACATGTGGCTGTATCCTCATCTGGTGAATTGGTGACATTCGTTGTCCTGCTGCTTCCCAGACTGTGGTGAGGATCAGATGTGTTAGTGCACTTTTAGCATTTGGAAAAGGTGATGCTCTATATGGCAGTCCTTTTATTCATGTCTTATGGGAAAACCACATAGTGAAAATATCTAATTTCATTCTGAACGCTCAGTTGAATTCCCAACACTTGTTATTTCTTTTGTGGACATTCTCTTGTTTTCCTCATAAATTTGTATCATGCGGTTGCATTTCTTTGAAGTGCTTGTTGATATACCTTAGAATTAAAATTAAAATAGTGATGTTTTGTTTCTTCAACTAGAACTTTTAAAACTTGGCAAGTACTGTGTGCTCTTTCTCATTTCCTTATCTTTGTTATGCTATATTGTAGCATACATCACATGGAGATGGGCGTCAAGAAGTTACCTCTCGCTCCAGCCGCTCTGGAGCTCGGTGTAGAAACTCTGTAGCCTGTGCAGATGAACAACCACACATCGGAAACTACAGACTGCTAAAAACAATCGGCAAGGGGAATTTTGCAAAAGTGAAATTGGCAAGACATATCCTTACAGGCAGAGAGGTAAATACCAATAATGCTTATTTTTGTTATGACTCTTGCTCTGTTTATTCCATGTGAGAGAAAGAGGAAGAGAATGTGTATATTTGGGCTTATTTTTAAGGTAGTTAAGCTTTTTAAAAAAAGAACATGAAGCATGCATTAATTGGGAGTTACTTTGTTTTCCTATTAATTGAAATGTTATAAATATTATATTAAGTGAATAATCTTGCCTTTAAAAATGGGTGGGGTTTTGTTCTTTTTTGATAGCAAATGTCTGTCACCCCAGTAAAAATTGTCTTGAACTTCAGGTATGCATTTATGTGTATAAACTATGGTATCTACAAACCCATAGCATTGTTTATACTAAAGAGAGTACTATTTATCTTCAAGAGTTTTCCTCATCTCTTCTAAATACTTTTCTTGTAGTTTTTGTTTAATGGAAAGCAGATACTTTCCTTTGTCATACTGGCTTTCTGCTCAACCTTATTCCTTATTTATCAAGATTTTAGTTTATCCATTAAAACTATACAGTTAACTCCCTCCTCATGCCCTGCTTGTGTGTTGCAGAGCCTGTTTTCCTTCTTTGACATTATTTCTTAGGTTTTTGTACCTGCGATTTCCTCTGCTTGACACACTCTTTGCTCTTTTGTGTGGGAATCACTTTTTCTGGGAAGGAGTCACTTAGAGCAGTAGTCCTTCTCCAGGCACGGGATTCGATAAAAATCTTGACACTTCCTTATATGGCACGATTTACATTGATGCAGAATTGCTTGTTTGTCTCCACTGCTAGTCTGTAGCCTTACCCTAGTCTGTAGGGGTAGAGGTAGTGCTTAACACAATGCTTGGCCCCTGTTAGGCACTTAATACTATTCCTTGAATGGATGTAAAAAGAGCTTTGAAGGATGCTTTTAAAAGAAGTGCTCTCCAGTGCCAGACCCTCCTGATAGATGTGCTGAGACTGTGTGGCAGATGTGCCATGCATCGATGCCCACAGCCCGCCAGGCCTGGGGCTGCTAGAGCAGGAGCTCTGGGCCAGTCATTCCGCCAGCAGGCAGCCTCTGTGGGAGTGTGCCCTACAAGTAATCTGATTTCCTGTGTGTGCTGGGATTTGGAAGGGTTGGAAAGCACTGGGCTGTGGTACCTGGGATGCTCAGAAGACTGGGAACCCGAAGTTTGCCTTTTCACAGCTCATCCCAGGTTTAGTGACCAAATCCCTTTGGATCTTTGGTTAAGACTCCTTGTTGTTTAGCTGCCTGGGACTGCTTTTGGAATCCGTAAACAGCTTGAGTGGGCGGAGCTTTCCCTGCTGTCCTTGATCAAAGCTTTCTTGCCGAAGGAACCAAACCTCTGAGTTTAGTTCCCACCGATTCCCGGAGGCTACCCTCCAGTTTTCTTTTGTGGGCAGAGATAGTGGGCTAGGAGACCAGTAGGACAGACAGACCCTCTTCCCTTTTACTTGACTTACATTGTCTGGAGGCTGGCCTACTGTAATTCCTTCTAGTAGGTTCTCCAGAAATGTTTGATATGACGAACTCAATTTAAAGGTTTTCTCAGTTTTAAAAAACTTTTTGTTTCTTTCCCCCTATTATTATGGCCCATCATATAAAATGTAAACATTTTAGGAATTCATTATGTAGAAAGTAGAGATTCCTTGAAATTTTCAAAGAAAATCACTTTCAGCAGTTTGGTATTTATTTCCCCAGTTTTTAAAATATATTAAATGTATTTATATTAACTTTTTGTTTATTAAAATACATACTCGGTTTAATGGCAGCATAGTCTTCCAGTGTATGGTAGTACCCTAGTTTGTTTTCTATTAGTGGACATTGAGGTTGTTTTTAAGTTTTTGTTGTTGATACAAACAGATCTACAGTGAACATTTCTTAGCATAACTTTATGTACTCTTGATCATCTTAGTCTGTTTTTACAATTGTAACAGAACACCATTGACTGGGTAGTTTATAAAGAGATAAATTCGGCCAGGCACAGTGGCTTATGCCTGTAATCCCAACACCTTGGGAGGCTGAGGTGGGAGCATTGCTTGAGCTCAGGAGTTCGAGACCAGCCTGAGTGACATAGCAAGACCTTGTCTTTTTTTTTTTTTGGTCAGAGTCTCACTGTCACTCAGGCTCAAATGTGGTGACATGCTTATGACCACCGGATCCTTGACCTGTGGGCTCAGGCAATCCTTTTGCCTCAGCCTTCCAAGAAGCTGGAGCTACAAGTATATGCCACCACATCCAACTAATTTTTTTTTTTTTTTTAATTGTAGAGACGAGGTCTTGCCAAGTTTCCCAGACTGGTCTCAAACCCCTGGGCTCAGGCAGCCAGTCCTCTCCCTTCTGCTTCTCAAAGTGCTGTGATAACAGGCGAGAGCCACTACTCCCGGCAAGACTTTGTCTATTTAAAAAAAAAAAAAAAATTATTTAGCCGGGTGTGCTGCGGTAAACCTGGATTGTGCCGCTGCACTCCAGCCTGTTCAACTAAAAAAGGAAAGAAGAATTTATTTCTCACAGTTCTTGAGACTGGGAAGTCCAAGATTGAGGGGCGGGCTATATCTAACAAAGGCATTCTTGCTGCATCAATACATGGTAGAAGGGCGGAGGGAGGGAGGGAGGGATGGGAGAGGGGGAGGAGGAGGGGGAGGAAAAAAGAAGGCAGAGTCCTTATGGTCTAAGCTCCTTTCTTCAATCAGTGAGGAAAGAACCGATGTTTCCAACACAAGGAGCAATCCACATGAAAGAAAAATCAGATCTGTACACCTTATATGAATCCCCTAAATACATACCAATGAATTAAACATTCAAATGTGAGCCATGGGAGGAGTTGGGGGTCTGACCCTGTTGATCAAGCTGGAGTGCAGTGGCATGATCATGACTCACTGTAATCTCGATCTCCTGTGCTCAGACGATCCTTCTGCCTTGGCCTCCTCAGGAGCTGGGACTACTTGTGTGTGCCACCATGCCTATTTTTTGTAGACATGAGGTCTCATTATGTTGTCCAGACTAGTCTCAAACTCCTGGGCTCAAGTGATCCTCCCAAAGTACTGGGATTACAGGTATGAGCCACTGCACTCTGCCCTAAGCACTCCTTAAAGGTTCCACCTCATAATACTGTTGCAGTGGCAGTTACATTTTAACATGTGTTTAAGAAGGGACCAGACATTCAGACCATAGCACTGACTGACAAAAAATGGTACTAAAAAAAAAGTTGCTTTTCCTTGGATATGTTTGGTCATTCATATGTTCTTTTTAAAAAAAACAAAATCAAAAAAAACAACTTTATGTTTATATCTCTTACCCTATTTCTTTTTTAATCTTAGTGATTTAATACTTTTGTCATCTGTCTGATCTGTATGTTGTTAGATTATGAATATTTTCCCCTAGATTGTTACTTCATTTAATTGTTTATGATGTCTTTTGTTTTAGAGAAGTTTTCTTTCTTTTTTTTTTAGTCAGAGTCTCCCTCTGTCACCCAGGCTGATATACAGTGGCATACTCTTGGCTACCACAGCCTTGACCTCCTGGGCTCAGGAGATCCTTCTGCCTCAACTTTCCAAATAGCTGAAACTACGGGTTTGGGCCACCATGCCCAGCTAGTTTATTTATTTATTGTAGAGACAGGTCTTGCCAAGTTGCCCAGGCTGGTTACGAACCCCTGGGCTCATGCAACCCTCTTATCTCCACCCTCCAGTGTGCTGGGACTATAGGTGTGAGCCATCACACCACATCCAGTTGTTTTCAACTTTTTATGTAGTAAAATGCTTTCATGGTTTTCTTTATTATATTTGGGTTTCATGTCTTAGTGAGAAAGTCTTGCTTTGTCCTATGATTTAAAGAATAATTTTGTATTTAATTCTAAAACTCCTCCCATGGCTCACTTTTGAATGTTTAATTCATTTGGTATATATTTAGGGGGTTAGTATGAAGTGTAGAGATCTGGCTTTTTAAAAAAAATGTGGATTGTCATCTATCCTGGAACCATCTTATCTTTCCCTACTGATTGAAGATACCTGGTTTGCCACATACTAAATTCCCATATATGTCCTTTTGTATTGCTGATCTGTTTTTTTAATCTTAGATCCATACCATGGTGCTTTTGTTACTTTAGCTTTTTATGGTTGTGTTTTGAGTGCTTTGGAGTAGGTCAACGCTGTTGATTTTTTTTTTTTTTTTTTTTTTAGTTTTCATAGTTTTTTTTTTTCCTTTACTTTTCTGTTTGAATTTTGGAGTCAAGTGCCATTTTCTAAAAACAGAACATGAAATTTTTATTAGATTAATTTTGATGGAATTAGGTGAATTTATAAATTAATTAGGGGGACAGATCTGATATTTTAATAATACCAAGTCTTTCTATCCAGAAATATGAAGTGTGTCTCAAATGTGTTTTCAGGGTTTGTGTTTTCTTCATCTAGGTTTCCTATAATTCTTGTTACATTTGTTCCAACATATTTTATAATTAATATCTATTATAAATGAAATTTCCCCCCTTTGCTATTGTGAACATATGGGAAGACAATACCAGTAGTTAGTATAACATCTTGCATTTGGGTACCTTTTAATTCACCCCCATAGAAAATTAAGTTTATGCTGTAAAAAAAATTGCACAGCATTTTTTATTTTGATGCTCAGTTCTGTGACTCATGTTATCATCACCATAATCAGGATATAGAACAGTCCCAATACTCCATGAAAACTCCCTTATGCTGTCCCTTTATGGGTGCCTTTCCCCCTCCATAACGTCTTGGAAACTACCTGTTTTCTATCCCCATTGTTTTGTTGTTTTGAAAATTTCAAGTAAAATATGATCATACAGTTTGTGACCCTTTGAAATGGACCTCTCACTCAGCATAATGCCTCTGAGATTGATTCAGGCTGTTGCATATATTGATAGTTTGTCCTTTTCGTTGCTGAGAAGTATTCTATTTTATTCTATTTTACCAACCACAGTTGGTAGCCACACCCCTACTGAAGGACATTCGAGTTGTTTCTGGTGTTTGGCAATTATGAATAGAGCTGCTA